ATCCGGACAATAGCAGCCAGCCAATTTATAAGCCATGCGATGCACGCGTTGTATAACAAACTTTTTAGTAAATTACAATTTTTTCTCTCAAATTATCTTTTAGGATCAATTTACTCCTTCAATTAAAAAATATCAATATGAACCTTTTATTACAAATTATGTAAATAGATGAAATATTAATATGTATCTTGCTCATAACATTTTAAATATTTAAAATGATCTTGTTATTTTCTCTCTTATGTTTTCAATCTATTTTTTTTTTTCTTATCCAAGTCTGCAGATATGAATTATATTCTCACTTTCATGACTATTACCAAGGGTAGAAAATAATAAATAATAATATATGATATATTTAAAAAATTTCATAAACTATATAAGAGGGAGATTTATGACCTAATATAGGCCGAGCTAATTTGGGTCTTAGTCAAGGTCTTTACTCGAACAAATGAGGCTACATGCTTGATCGAGGCTTGAACACGATTAGATGTTGGATACGCATAGGACCGAAGTCTTAGCCCGGTCAAGTTAGGGACAAGTTTGAGGTGATAGCCAGTCTAGAGATGCACATTTTGCTAAGTTGGACGGAATTTGTTCTTAGAAGACCAAGTTCGACTGAGCAAGAGCTTATTGTGGATTGTAGAGCTTAGTTGAGCCCGCGCACAGGTTAGTCCTACGAAACCGAGCAGGTAGCACAACCTTGAGGAAAGACTGTGGCACCGTGCTTGGCACAACTCGGTAAGGTGTGTTACGTAGCGTGTTTGGATGGCATGAAAGAGATTTCGTCGTCCGTACGCATCAATACCGTTAAGTGGTTTAGCCATTTGGTGTTTGGCAGTATTTACGCTTACACGTGGAAGAAGATTAGAGAGAAGAACATATCCATGCGTTAGGAGGAGGACAGACAGAGAGGAGCAAGCAGAAACTATATAAACGGTGTTGCGCCTCCATGCACAGGTGTGGATTTTCTAGTTATCAGAGCTACCTACCCATTTGTCTCTTCTATCTCTTTCTTCCTTTCTAAGTGTGCTAACTTGATCGTCGGAGGGGTTTTCTGGTTGCACACCCACCGGGTAGCTCACCGTCTTTCTGTTCTTAGGTTAATTGACGTTACTCAGAGCTTGGACGCGAGGATATAGAGAGCGACAGATATTTCCTCCCGTACACTATAATTTCTCATATTTAGAGATGTGGTGTCTCAATTGAGGCTTCTTTAGAGTATTTTTTGATAATTTTAACTGTTTACATTGTAAGATTTATCGAGTCATAAAAAAAATTAAGTAAATTGAAAATCTATAACCTCATAATCAAATACTAATTATTAGTTTTAAAAAATTATAAAGCTCAAGTTAATCATTCATTTTTTTAAAAAAACAAATGTACTATTATTACGTAATTATAAATGGTCAATTAATTTAATTTTTTATATACTTAATAAATTTTATAATATAAACGGCTCAAATTATTTTTTTTAAAAAAATTCAAAAAAAATCCCCACCGGGACAGCCTGATGTTTTGATCCTAGGATCCTTAGTCCTAAAAAATAAGATTATTATTATTTTTTTTAATGGAATACTAGTCAAGAACAATAGAAAATAGGCGAATTCTATTATATGTATTATGTCATTTTTTTTTATTATGAGTATTTTTTTCAAAGTTATATTATGGTTTTGAGATGTTTAATTATGCCTGATGATGTAGCGTTTGGTTATTGATGAAGTATCGATTCCCGGGTGGATGGGTCGGACCGGCCCAGGTTCTCCAGACTCCGACTCAAAAAGGGCTTCCCACAGACGGCGCCAACTGATGATGTATCGATTCCCGGGTGGATGGGTCGGACCGGCCCAGGTTCTCCAGACTCCGACTCAAAAAGGGGGCTCCGTCAGATGACCTTCTTTTTCTTCCTCTTATCCTTGCTTATATCCTTTCGTCCCCCAGTGAACCCTCCGGTGCAAGAATTAGAAGAGCAGAGTATGAAAAAACTGTATATCCAGAGATCAAGAGAGAGAGAGCAACTTAACCGGTGCAAGAATTAGAAGAGCAGAGTATGAAAAGACTATATCGAGAGATCAAGAGAGAGAGAGAGCAACTTAACCTTCTTTTTCTTCCTCTTATCCTTGCTTATATCCTTTCGTCATCATTTTTCCTGTCTCTTGTGACGTGCTTTTTCCGCCGAAAGCCTGTGCCATAGCTCATCTTGTTTAGGGTGATGGAGGCTCTGTTCCGGCGGGGAGTGCTGTTGTAATAAATGCTGTGATGGGTTGCATTAATGGTGATGTGTTGTGATAATAACTCTGCAGATCTTTGTCTGCTGATGTGGCCCGGGTTGTGCCATTGGCCCCAAGCACTGGGTTCGGGGTGGTTTACCGTGGGCCTTGTCACCCAAGCAACCGGGTTGTGCCATTGGCCCCAAGCACTGGGTTCGGGGTGGTTTACCGTGGGCCGTGTGCCTTGTGGGCCTATCCATGTCACATAGTAAGGAGTGGAATTAACAAGACTAATTCAAAATTCTGCTGTGAAAGACTTTACCATCTTTCCATCAAATACAGTCTCATTATCTATAGTTATGGTCTGTGGGATGCCAAATCCGTAGATCAGATATTTAATAAATCCAATAACCTCAATTTGATCCACAACTTTATATAGTTTAGCTTCAACCCACTTAGTGAAGTAATCTGTAGCCACTAGGATGAAACAATGATGCTTCGAAGAGGGAGGATGTATTTTTAAAATTATTTTTTTTTTTTTTTGTGAAGCACTAATAAATCTCAAAATGTGATCTTGTGAAGTGTTTAGCTCTCCCTTTTTTCTTATGAACTCAAAGGTTCCATTAAGCCTCCATTTGAGAAGTGGGTTGGCTTTTTGGCTTTTTGGCTATTTTAGCCTGGGGCTAAAAAGCCTGGTTTAGGAAGGACTTTTTGGCTTTTTGACTTTTTTGACTTTTTTTGTGAGAGAGGAGTGTAATGATTATGGATTTGATTTGATATTTTATTTTTTGTGACAAAAATAGCCTATTTTGTTTTTTGTGACTATTTTAGCCCCTAACCCACCAAAACCAACTTCCCAAACTATGCCTAAAGTGAAAATTACACAAAAAGGTAATCACTTACACTTTTGGGTTTAATTTTTGAAGGATAAAAGTTGGTTTCTCCAAAAGTGAAATTACACATTTAGACAATTCACACTATAAAAGTTTTAGATTTTATCTAATTTTAGAACAAATCACACATTACGAACAAAAACGTAATGCTTTAATGTAACGCTCTAATGTAATAGACTAAAAAACTCCCTCATATATTTTTTCCAAATATAACAGCGTAACACTTCAAATTTTTCCTAAACGTAACACTCTAATGCACATAAAAACTCTTTAGTATACTTTTCTCAAACGTAATAATTCAATCAATGTAATCCTAATATAACACATATAAAAATACTAAAAAATTACTTAGCGTATTTTTTCCAAACGTAACACTCACAATTTAAAATTATACATTTATTCAAAATTTACTAAGACTTGGTTTGGAAAATGAGTTGACTTTTTGGCTTTTTGATTTTTTTTTTACTATTTTAGCCTAAGGCTAGAAAGTCTGGTTTGGGAAGGACTTTTGGCTTTTTTATTTTATTTTTTATGAGAGAAACAATGTAATGATTATGTGTTGGATATGATGTTTTGTCTTATTAGGGCTAAAAGCCTATTTTGTTTTTTGTGACTATTCTAGCTCCAAACCCACCCAAACCCACTTCCTACACAGTGGCTAAGGAATTGTTGTACTTCTTTTGAAATGGTTTGAAGAATCCCATACCTTTTTGGAATGATTTGAAGAATTTCACATCCTTTTTTTGAAGTGTTACATTAGAGTAGGGCTGTGCAAAATATCGCCCAATCTGCTAAAACCGCACCGATCCGCATCTATCCGCATCACTTTAACCGCTAATCGCGGCTTAAACTTTAAAATTTATAATCCACCAACCGAATCGCTCTGCCCCGCTCTAGTTAATACATATATATTTTTTAACCTCCAATGAAATATCAATATAAAAATAAATGTGAGAGAGATTTAAGATATGAAATTTATTACAAATTAGTGGTTATATATATGAAATATATTATATAAAATTACTTTGTGTTATATATCTAAAAAATATTATAAAAATTAGTGTTATATATTATGCAAATGTATGATAATTAGTTAGAATATTCTTCAATCCGTCAAAAATCGCCAAAATCGCAATTTGTCAATCTGCTAATCCGCCAACCCGCCAACCCGCCATTCGATTTGTAAATTCACTCTCAAACCGCCCGAACCGCGCCGCGCACACCCTTATATTAGAGTATTATGTTTGGAAAAAATATACTAAGCAATTTTTTTGTGTTATATTAGAATGCTACACTAAGGAGGTTTTTTGAAGTGTTACACTAAAGAATTTTTTTGGAGTGTTACATTGTAGAATTACAAATTAAAATTATACATTTGCTCAAAACATACTAAGAAGTTTTTGTATTCTTTTTAAAACATTGAAAAATCCAACATATTTTCAAAATGTTTAAATAATCTCATATTTCAAGTCATATTTGTATGCCTTTTGAAATATTTAAAAAAATTTACATTTCAAGTTATTCCAAATAAAAAAGATTAACATATAAAAATTCATTTCAAATTTAATTTTTATATATTGTGTATCTTACCTTCTTAACACAAAAAAAAGAAAAAAAAATATAAATAAAAATATAACCGTAAATTTTATTTTTAAATAATATATTAAATTTATATTTTTAAAATTAATAGAACTAATTGATTTAAAAAAAAAAACTCTTGAATTTAATCCATCATCATTTCTCATTTTTTTTTTAAATTATAAGATTTATAACAAAAATAAAATAAAATTGTGGGTCCGCATTTATTTACGTAATGGCAATAATTATAGCTAATAGCACTCTATAGAACACACGCGACACCCCCCACTTGTCCCCACCCAATTGCCTTTTTCTCTCTCCCGCTCCCTCCTTCCAGAGTGTCTCTATCTAGACGATAGACATATACACAAATGCATTCATACACATTTATCTAGACGATAGACATATACACAAATGCATTCATACACATTTATCTCCGATCGAGTGGTGGTTGATATGGATTTTGTTGGAGAGGAATTGACGGCGATTTAAACGTGTCAGATTTCTTTGTCTGAATGAGGGCTCCTCGTATTCCTTATTACTACACATTTATCTTCTTCTCTCACTCTTGACTTTCTTTGTTTTTTTAATTTTCTTCGTTGTCTAACTTTCAATCCCACAAAACAAACGCCCTTCTCTTCATCTTGATTCCGGTAAGTTTCCCCAATTCGCATTTTTCTTTTCTGATTTACAACTTCTGATATCAGTTGATGTTTATTTGTTGTGGGTTTTTCATGATTCTGTTTTTATTTGAAGACCCATTTTAGTCATTGGATTGCCTCTCAATTTTTGTTAATTTCCAAGCCCATATGCATATCAATTGCTTGTATTTATTGCACAAGATACATGTTAACATGAATATGTGTGCGTGTGTGTGTGTGTGTGTGTTTGTGTGTGCGCGCGCACGCGCCTGTGTGTCTATGTAGCTATATTTGTGTATATGGTAGGGTTTGGACCAAATGTTCTCAGACATTTTCCCTGTTTCATGAGATTGTTGCAGCTATAATTTTGGCCTCAATCACAGTGGTGTTTATAGGCTTATTGTTCTTTTGAATGGCTTTGTATTAACATATGGATTGTTAACTACAATTTGAATGGTTTATGTGAGTGAGATAGACAAAAGCTGTTCTTTGTCTTGATGGATAGTAAACCCTTTTAAAAAACTGTGTTTTAGGCCTTTGGATGAGGCTTACCCTAAAATCTGCATAACTTTAGATAATTTATATGTTACATGGCCTTCTGTCAGTAGGTGCGTTCATCAAATCCTGGACACAAGGTCGTGGCTAGATTGTCAAGTTGTGTCCAACATGAACTCGTATTTTTTTGTTAAGCCTCTTGTGTGAATTTTTATTTTGAAATGCTCGCTTAATTGGAATATGCTGTGTATTTATTTTTATTTATTTTTATTTTTATACACAGGAAAGAGTTGCACTCCTACATATTTATAAATGCTTATGGTTAACTAACTTGATTTGTAATTGCCCCCCTTTTTAGTGCCCCTGTAATTGTAGCTGTTCTATGTATCTTAGTTCTTTCTAGATGAGATGCCAACAATAGAAAAGGAATCTAAATTCTGTCATTTTGTAATTCTATATAATATTGGACAAAATTATTTTGATGCAAGAATAACATTGATGATACTATTCTTCAAGGAGAGGGGCGCTGGAAAACAAAGCAGAAGGCACTCTTCATCACTTTGTATAAGGCTAGGATGAAAAGTTAAAAACCAATGTAGATTTTCGGTAGTATAAACTCTTCCAAACATCAGTGATCTTTGTTGAGAATTTTCTTTCGATAAATTTTTTTCCATAGCGTATGGTGGTTCTACTAGCTGTACAAGTATTCAATAAAATTAACCATCTTATTGAAGCAAAGTGATTCTTTTTTTTTCCCTTTCTTTTTTCACAGGATGCAGATCTTGGGGACTAGCGATGCTACTACTCTGAATTACTGGTTAAACTTGAGGGTCTTGATCTGTGCAATATGGGTCTTGACACCCATGTTTATAGGCTTATATATGATATGGAAATATGAATGTTTAGATTGTTCAGAATCTGAGAAAATAACTCAGCAAGAGAGAAGTGGGTTTTTATATCATGATGAAGCTTGGAGGCCATGCCTGAAAGAAATTCACCCAGTCTGGTTGTTGGTTTTCCGAGTTATTGCTTTTTTTCTGCTTTTAGGGACTATCATTGCTGATGTCGTTGTTCATGGATGTTCCATATTATACTACTATACTCAGTGAGTAATTTGTTTTCTTTAGTCTCATCATATCCTGTCACACATATGAGGATTCAATAGTGGAATAACTGATAAAGTGTAGATCACGCAGAAAATATTCTTGATGGCATTTACGAGTTCATCAACAATTTAAAAAAGAAAAAGAAATGGAGATATGTTCTTTACTTGTTCTCTTATTATGAACAAAGACATTATGACACACATCAATGTTTGAAATATCTTACAAATGAAGTAGTATATGGCATGTAGATATCGTATAGCAGCTTTGTCAGTTGGGTTTTAAAATTTGTTTCATAGACGAATACTTCCATTCTATCATGCGCATATTTTGTTAACCATAGGCCAATAGCTTTTGAATTAACCTTGAAAAGTTTATTTTTATTTTTTATTTATAAAGTTCAGTTTAATGATGCTGTTTGGATGTTCAACAGGTGGACTTTTATTTTGGTCACCATCTATTTTGGGGTACACTTCCTATTTTCTCTGTATATCTTTAGTCTTTGCTCCTATAGTATCAATTTGATCTATCTATAACCTAATTGTCGTAAGTTTTCTGTAGTTCGGATCACTGCTTTCCATTTATGGATGTTATCAGAATAACAAGATGTGTATGGCCTCTAATGGTCATTATGTGGGAATAGATGCAGAGCAAGGATTATCTGTGCCTCTCACATACAGGGAAACTGCATATAGAGTTAGAGTAGAAAAAAACTCGAATCATCAGGAGAAGAATGGTGATGTCCCGATGATAGGCATCCTGTGTCATGCCTTTCAAGTTATTTTCCAGGTATATTCTTTCTTTAGAATCTGTCAATCATCAACATGTTGGTTGTGTTGTGCTCCTGAATTTTTGTGTTTTTGGCGTGAGCTTATTCTCTGTGTTTTTGTTTTTTGTTTGCTCATTTGTCTTCTATCTGCACCCCTTCCCTTCGTTTTTTTTTTGGCATGCTTTCTCCTCTGTCTCATCCAAGGTTTTAAAAAGCGTCCACAACCGTTACGTAATGTCATTACATAACGGTTGTGGTGGTTACCACCCTTGTTACGGCCAATATAGCGGTGTGACAGAAATTCATAACTATAATGGCCGCAACCGTTACGTGAAGGCCTTAACAGCTGTTACGTAGCCGCTACAGTACCATTACGGCCGTTACGACCGTTACGCTTCTATTTTATTTTTTTATTAATTTTCATAAATTTTGTATATAATGCTATTTCTCTTTTTATTTTCTAGTTACATAAAACTTAAGGAAAAATCTTATCTATATATGTTTTGAATGTCCAATCTTTAAGTTCTACAAGATTTCATTACCTTTTTATGTAGTTATATTTGAAAATTAACTTATATCTATTTCTTTTATGTTAAATTTATTGAACAAAATTTAGATTTCATGTTATGTACTTTTACATTATTATGTTAACATTTTGTATTTTGAACTTATGTTTATGAGACTATTATTTTTAATATTAAACATACTTCACTTTTATTCTTAACAAATTGGAAGTTATCCATAAGTATAATTAGTAAAGTAAGGAAAATTAAATAAATCCAACAATAAGAAAATTATCCATAATGGCTTAAAATTAATATAAAAATTAGTAAATCATGTTTTAAAATTAAACAAAAACACTAAAAATCATTTTGAACCTCAATAAATGTGATTCTGAAATAAAAACATGTGTATTGGTATGTTTTTCTAAAGTTGTGCGAAAAATTAAAAATTTATGATTCCAGTTGCCGCCACCGTTACGTTATGGCCATTACACCTGCAACCACGTCAATGCTACCACTACCATTACGGTAACCACCACCATTATTTAAACCAGACTCTCACCTTATGACCCTACCAACAAATGTAGAGATTTGCTATCTTTTGGGGGAAAATATATCTGTTTGATAAGAGCCTCACTATGCTTCATTGGCTCGAGAAATTTGTCTTTCATGGAATGCAGATAAACAATTGGTACTCAGCCTTTTGTATAGGATCCATTTTTCACATATTGTTACCCATGCTAAACATCATTGAGGCATGATGGCTTTGATATTTCAAAAAAGAGTCCAAAATTTGAATGTTGTTTCTGTTATACTTGCTACTATGCTTGGCACCATGATATGACATTTTGCTATATGGTTGTTTTTGTTATTTTATGTAGAAATGTCCATTTTTTTTACTATGTTTGTTTCATCATGAACAGGTGAGTGCTGGGGCCGTGATGCTGACTGATTGTGTTTATTGGTTCGTAATATTTCCTTTTCTAACCATCAAAGATTACGATATGAACAGTGTAAGTACTGCATACGTAACTAATCCTTCGCTTACATTTTCCATGTTTAGCTATTTTTAATTTTAGTTTTATTGGAGGTCCCCTGCGGCTAGTGTCAATAGAGCTCAGGTGTATATTACTTGTCAAGACAAGTGTGAACATATTATCCAAATGTAAATTGGTGCATACAGTAAGATGTTAAATTACTTTCATGCTTGAATGGGAAAAATATAGTTTAGATTATTTGGTGTTTGGAAAAAGAGAATTAGGGCATGTTTGGTATTGTTTTCATTTTTTATGTTTTTGCAAACAAACATAATGAAAATTTTGAAAACACTATAAGTGACAATGACCGATGTTGGTCCTTGTGTGGTGAACATTGGGCTCATAGTGTTGGCAAACCTAGGTCATTTGACAACTTTCTCACTATAAGTAACAATTCGACCGTTTAATGAATCAATCAATTGGAGATACAACATCAGGATGGTAAAATGTCTCCAATTAACACTTGTTATCTGCAGTTGTGAAGATTGTGCGAATATGTTTGACCATATGATGAATAATGTCTGTACTTGTTGATTTAGTGATGGTATGGATACCTGAAGCGAGATTCTAACAGCTGCCGCTTCATCTATGGCAACGGCTTTACTGAATGACAAGCAGGGAGTGAGATCTATCCGGCTTATTACCATGTAGTCTGGCGTCACCCCCGTGTACACCAAAAAAAAAAAAGAGTTGAATTAGATTATTCATGCCAAACTTTCTTGTCATCCAGGTGGATGATTCCACCAAATGACCTGCAAGCAAGTCCAAAGGGGAACGGGGTAGTCCCCCAGTGAACCTTCCGGCGAGCAAATCAGTAGAGGAAGAAGGAAATATAGAGAGAGACAGAGATAGAAAAGCTTAACCTTCCTCTTGTCTTCGATTCATGCTTATATCCTTTGGTAATCATTTCACTGTCCCTTGCGACGTGCCCCCTTCCGCTGAAAGCCTGTGCCGTAGCTTACCTTGTTCAGGGTGAGGGGGCTCTATTCCGACGTTGAGGTGTTGTCGTAATAAATGCTGTGATAGGCTGCATTAATGGTGATGTGTTGTGGCAATAACTCTGCAGATCTTTGTCTGCTGATGTGGCCTGTGTTTCACCTACCATGTGCCCGAATGTCATTGGCCCTCCATGTCCAGATGGCCTCCAGCTATCTTGGGCTTTGCTAGTCGGGTTATGCTATGGGTCCCAAGCGATGGGTTTGGGGTTGTTTGCTGTGGGCTGTAAGCTTTATGGGCCTATCCATGTCTGTAGTCCCCCATTTCCGAGTGCAGCTTTAGTCCAACGAAGGGAATAGTAATAAGGAAGAGAAGTGCGAACCGAGCGGAGAGGCCGACCGTTAGGCGTGCCGACCGCAAGGGTGGCCAAGCGGGAGGGGTCGACCGTGAGGCGTGCCGACAGCAAGGTGGCCGAGCGGGGGGAGCTGACCGTGAGGGTGGCCGAGCGGGAGGGGTCGACCGTGAGGCGTGCCGACCGCGAGGCGTATCGACCGCAAGGGTAGCCGAGCCGGGGCAGCCCGAGCGTGGGGTGTGCCGACCAGGACGGCGCGGGGTTAAAAAAAGGGGGGCGTGCCATGTGATGATGTGAAATGGAAAGGACAGGGTAAGGGGAGGGGACAGTGTATCGTGGCCATACATGTGGCAATATCGTGGGGGAAGTGAAGCGTTGGAGCAGAAATGAAACGATAGGTCACGATGGGGGGTTTTGAAAATGCGGTTTTGGCGGTTGATTTGAAAGGTTTTTAAACGGGCGAAAATTAATTTGGATCCATGGAATACGGGTAAACCGTGGGTTTTTGGTATAATTCGTTTCACCTACCTTTTTACAAAAACTCAAAATATCCAAGTGTTAATTCCTTCATTGCGCACGACACACCTTTTGCAACATTTTCTCAACTTCCTTGCTCCTGCGTCAGAAGTGATTCGTAAGCAAACCCTAGAAATGGCACAAGAAGAAGTGGGGAATGTGAGGGTGGACCCCCTGGGAGACGATAATGCAGAGGAGCTAGCAGCGCGATAGAGGACGGAGACACGAATGGTGGGGGTGGGGGAACCGGTGGGACAATCGCAGGCGTCGGCCCTGATAGTGGCTCCAAGGCCAATAAGCCAGGTAGAGCCGGATCAGTGGCACACTAAGGCTGACAAATCCACAATTACTGCGGCGGATTTGGAGGCTATTAGGGAAAAATACCAGATTCCAGCTGAGGTGGAGTTATTGCTGCCAGCATCAAGGGAAAGGCTGTCTGATGCCAGGCCAAGGGAGTTTTTCCTTTACGAGGAGGCGCTAAAAGGTGGGCTGAGGTTGCCACTGCCCCAAGTGGTGGTTGACGTACTGAACCGTCTGGAAGTAGCACCGGGGCAATTGATGCCCAATGCATGGAAGATTCTGCTGGCCTGTGCTAGCGTGTGGCCCAAGGCGAATGGAGGGAAAGCCATGGCGGTAGACGAGTTCTTTTCCTGTTATAAGGCTTTGGGGCAGCAAGAGACGTGGGCCACCCTACAGGCAGTGATGGGGAGGGGGTTGGTGGCGGGGCTGCCGACATCGATCAAGGGGTGGTGGCCACAGTGGTTCTACGTGTTTGCCAATAGGGGACTGGGAGTGCGCACCATCTGGAAGGTGCCCGTTAGGTCGATGGAGCCAAGACTGGGGGCAACGGCGGAAGAGAGGGTGAGGAGGGTGAAAGAGTGGAGGGAGAGAGAGAAGGCCAAATGGGACGAGCTTGTTCAGCCGTCCGTATTGTTTGAGGCAGGGTTGGGACCGCAGCCGAGGGGTGGGGACCTCGACCGAGCAGAATTGGAGGCGAGAAGAGAGGTTCAGGAAGCAGAGGATCAGGCCATACTTGCCAAAGCCACGAAGTTGAAGGAAGCGCGAGGAGACCGACCGCCTCAACCGATCGCGCGGGAGAGGATCCGACCGCGCCTAAGGCCGCTAGGGGGGAAGGACTTAAGCAGTTTTGAGCCACGACCGCCCCCAGTAGATCCTGTAAAAGAACAGGCCAGAAAGGAGGGGGAGGCTCTGAAGAAGAAGAAGAAAAAGAAGAGGAGTGCCCCAGAGGGAGCTGCAGATGAGTCTGGGGCCAAGAGGGCTAAGGTGGCCCCAGCTGAGGTGGAGGCCCCTGTGGCCAAGGATACCCCAGAGGTGGTGGGGGTCACCCCAACATTGGAGGTTGTGGAGACTGCCCCAACAATGCAAGTAGGAGTTGGGTTGACTGAGGCTGAGCCGAGCAGGAGGGAGCAGACCCAAAGGGGCCCTGCACCCCAGGAAGGAGGGGTTCGTCTGGCCACGACAATCTATCACGTTCGCGCGGTAGCTGGAAGGTTGGAGGGAGAAGAAGGCCCAGCCAGGGCGGGGGCAGACCGTTTGGTGAAGATTGTGGAGGAGACAGCCCTGCGATCGGCATCCGGATTCAATGAGGCTGACCTGCTGAGGGGGTTATGCTCCGCCCAAATGGAGGTAACCACCTTGGCAGGGGCCCTTCTAAGGAAAGCAGGGGCTGCCAAGCTAAAAGCTGAAGAGGCCAAGGCCCAGTTGGCCAAGTTGAAGTAGGAGAGTGCCGACTGGAAGACTGCCCATGCTGAGCTGTAAGCAGTCAAGTTGGAGTTGGAAGACACACGCCGTAAGGTCGTGTCGCTCGAGTTCCAACTGGCTGGCGAACAGAAAAAGTTAGAGGAGTCTGAAAGAGCCTGCGCCGTTGCGGTCGAGCGGCATGAAGAGGTCATGAGCAGCAATGAAGAGCTGGTCAGGCAAAAAGATGAGGCAGATGCCAGAATTGGAGATCTGTTAAAGGAGTTGGAGGATGGGCGCGCTAAAGCAGAGGAGGAGAAGGGGAGGCTTGTGAGGGAGTTGGAATTGGAAGCAGAGAAGGCGAAGGTGATGGCGGAGATGGAGAGTCTGAGGAAGGGAATGGAAGAGGAAAGGGCAACGGCGGCTGCTGAAAGGGGGGCCCTGCAGAGAGAGCTGGACGAAGAGAGGGCGAAGGCGGCTTCTGAGAGGGCGGCCTACCCCGATCTGTGCGTCGCAGCAGTGGAGCAATACAAAGGGTCTCCCGAATTTCAGATGGCGGTAGATGCCGCAGTCGCCAGGAATCTAGCTGGGCAAGAATCGGGGGGGTGGGCCCATCAAGGACGACTGCTAGAGGTAGGACGGAGGCAGAAGTGATTGAGAGCTTCCAGCAGTCAGACTTCTACAAGCACGAAATGGCTGAGTTCTGGGACAGCGACTGGAAGACCTTCAAACGCAAAGCGAAAGAGCTGTTTCCAGACTTGGACTTGAGCCAAGTGAAAATTGATGAAGAGGACGTTGGCCAGACCTCCCTGGATGATGGGATCGAGGAGGAGGACCTTGCCTATTGGTGAAGATGATGTGGCCCAGACCCCCCTGGACGAGGGCATTGAAGAAGAAGAGCTGGCGTCCAGCGAGGAGGAATAACCAAGAAGAAGAAAAGCTGGGCATGCTCTATGTTTTGTGATTTTTTTTTTTTTTTTGTAATGAACTTGTGTACACATTGTAAATGAATAAAATTTCGTTTATGTTGTCAGTTGACTGTGTTGGCCTGTATTGTCTAAAATGAATGAAGTCTTGTCATAAAAACTGGTCATAAAAATTGTGCAATAAAAATTTCGTGCAAAGTTAAGTTAAAAGTTCCTCCCTGCAGAGTGAGATTGGATTTGTATGAAAATTGAAAGGATGATAGTGGTTTATTGAAAAATTGGATTATGAAATTGTAGAACATAATATTCGAATGGGGTTAGTACTTCCAGTTTAATAAGTACGGATGAAGAACCCATGGATGAGGACAGAAAAGTAGGTTGCAAATAGTAACTAAACGATTAATTGTAAACTTGTAGAGAAGAGATTGGAGAAACAAGCTGGGTGGGGTGGGAGATAATCTGATTAGTAAATGAAATATGTGAGAACACCTTTGGAATCTAACTAAGTAAAAACGTGGTTCTGGAATTGTGAATAAGTTTCAAAATGT